TATATTAATAAATTATAATTCTAAATTAAAATTTATATAAAATATAAATACTTTTCAAGCAAAATTAAAATATATCGCATACATATTCTGAGCTGAAAAGTTAATAAAACCCATAGGGACATGTGATTCATAATTGATATATAATTTACAGTCTCTCTATATGGTTCAATGACTCCCTTTCTGGTTGTACCAGTGATAATAAATACAGTCAGCTACATGGGGTTGTACAACATTTCCGATAAACCCCTGATGTTTCGCACGGAATACTTTATAGATTCCGAGAAGTATTACTACCCGTTATTGGTGCATTCGTACATTGGCACCCTCGGATTCGTCACGATCGTCGTAGCGATTGACTCGATGTTGGTGTTTCACGTTCAACACGAATGTGGGATGTGCGAGATCCTAGGGTAACTTCGCAATAATGACACTTCGTAAGACTGAACAGTATTCATTCAAAACGCATCTTGTGTATTTGTTATACTCGCATGTACATGTTGCTTGCGAGAAATCCGATCGGTGTTAATCTCATCTCATGTTGGATATCCCATACTGTCACACGTTTCTTACATTTTATTAAATCTTTGATACATAGAAAAATATATATATATATATATAATATATATACATTTTTGTCGTGTAATTATTGTTGAGCGAGAGAAAGAGAGAGTGACTGCGGAATAAATATTTGTCATTGGTCATCGAGTGTCTTATTAACACTTGTTACCCGAATTCGTTTCATCCATACATCACATCATGAAGATAAAATAATATATACATAGTCAGAGTAGGTAGAGATATTAAATAGGCGGTGATATTAAATTTTAATATTAATTATTCATCTACATCATTTGATCGAATTTCAACATCCTTGGACTCAACCTATGTTTAAGATACGTTTATCAATAAGCATTTTTTAGATATCGGCTAGCACGGATTGTTGAAGCAGATACTTTAGACATAAATTTGTATACGAGCAAAGAAGAGGCTATGTCGTACGGATATATTAAGAATTGTGTCATCATGCACAATCATATAATAGAGTTAGTATCTCTGGATAATTACATTATCATTTTTGTTGCCAGTAATTTGGTATCCGTTTTTATATTTTTTAATGAATACCATGCGTTTGATATTTTTGCTTCTTTTACGCATGTAATGAAATAAGTGTATAAATTCGATAAATTTTTGTCTACTTACATCATTAATTTTATTTAATAATTAATCTCCTTTCTAAATTGATCAATGTCTTATTCTTTATTCTTTGAAATTTATACAATACTTTAGCACATCTTTTTATTATTAACTTTATTCATTTTTCTCGCATATGAAGGTATGCTAAACGTATCGAAATTGCGAATACGACATCGTATTTTTTTCAACTAGGTTTTAATATGATGGGCATGACATTCACAATATTTCAGGTCAGTACAGTGATAAGTACACATGTGCAATCATAATTATCATTACTGATAAGCTTTACCCTAATGAGAAATGATAATAAAATCAACATCGAATCGATTTTATTCGTCATCAAAATCATCAATTTAACATCGATTTTATTGTCATTTTTCATTAAGACGTCCATTACAAATTTTGTCTTTTTTATCATGTCTGATTATTATGCTTAAAATTAGAATTAATTTCTTTAGACTTGTAATTCTATACAATACGTGCGAGTATAACAAAGCGAATTTACGTTTATGAGTTAGGCAGTGGTAAAGTTGACTGATCCAAATGAAGCTCTGCGATATGTATCGTTCACGGTGACTCTGCTATCCGTACTCTTCCTCGAAAGCTGGCCGGGTCAGCAACTATCAGATTATACTGACAAAACTTTTGCATTTATGTAAGTACTTCGTCATGGAGGCATTTTAGTTACAGTTCAGCATTGACAATTTCTGAAAACAATTAACCAATACTTTGTTCAGATATTGATACAATCGATCTATACATGGAATCGCTTTACACACATTTACTAAAAATAATTATAAATAAAATAATAGTCTAACACACATCGGTATTTCAGAACCAACGGAAGATGGTATCAGTCTTCGCTGAGAGTAAGAAAAGTGATCAGTATTATGCTGATGAGGAGTTACGTGCCAATCAAGATAACTGCGGGTAAACTGTACGCTTTGAACTTGGCAAATTTCGCTGCAGTAAGATAACATCTTCAAAAACGAGATCTGCTCATTGTATTACTGTAAAGATTGACACATCGTCTTTTTAAGGTCGTACGCACGTCGTTTTCTTATTTCACTGTCCTTTGTTCTATGCAATGAGCGAGACTTGCTGCAGCTCTATTGCAAAAACTATTATTGATGACAACAACTACAAGCAACTGAATTGCCCTCATCTTCTTTTTTATGACGACTCGTGAGTCATAAGTGGCTACGACGATTCGGTAAAGTCGATAAAGTTAAATATTTTTGGCGCGCAATTAGAACATTCACAAGAAAAATAAAGTAAAAAAATCACAATACATTGTTTAACAGATTAACGTGTTCCGTTCCGCAAGAATTTTTTTTTTAAAGTTAATAGCTTTCTTACAGTTTTATTTAACTATCTACAGAAACGGCATTGAAAAGAAAATTATCCTATAAAGCAGTCTATGTGTGTATGCAGTCTTTCAAGACCTCATTTCTATTTATTTCTAAAATATGATGAATATGTGATGAATATGTAATACAAATATCATCAGTTACGATCAAAACTTTTGTTACAGAAATTGTAGCATCAAAAAATATGACGATGATGTATGCAATACCTTTAACAAAATTTTATTTTTAGTTTACTTTTTTATTGCACACATTAATATCTTTTAAAACAATCATACTTATCGTGTTAAAAGTTATATATGTTATTAAAATAAGTAAAATTACTGTATTATTTTATATATATATATATATAAAATAATACAGTAATTTTACTTATTTTAATATCGATAGTCTTTCACTTCTTATTATCATCATTATAAAAAGCTTTCTCTCCACTAGCACCGTATCACTATGTATTATATCTGCAAATTTTAAAATTATAGACTTGCGAGATGTATAAGTTTATCAAAAATCTATTATACTGCCATTTTTTAAAGTTTTCTGTTTAAAACTTTTATTATACAATAATATACTTAAAGGATAAAAATGCAAGTATAGGTACCAATATTTTCATATTTAAGTACGATTTTCTAATAGCCAATATAAAGTCTACTCTTTAGCATTATCACGTTCAAAAAGTCTAGATTTGAACATGAATTATTGAATTTGCTTCTGCAACTTGTATTGAAATTTATATTATCATGTGTGTCAGGAATAAAAATATTCTTATAAAAAAATTATTTTCTTCTCATGTAAAATATATACAAATTATATACTAAACAGCTCAATAAGTTTATAACGAATAATATTAAACTTATTGAGTTGTTGTACGTTTTTACCTTATATCGGCGTATACAAGTGCATACTGCTTCGATTATTCGTTATTAATTAGCATGTCTTAACTAGCATGTGATAAAAAAATTCAGTAAGTTGAGCGATGATGTACGCAAAATGTTAAATTGCAATTATTGAAAAGTTGGGATTAAATTTATTTATATGGAAATGCGATCTAAAAATTTTTTATTAAATATATGTTCTTTTTAAGCTACATTAATAAATTCGTAAATAAAGTAAATATTAATAAAGTAAAACAATTGTTTTAATAAGTGTCTTAACTGGCACATGTCACACATTATCGTACTTAAAATTCATTACTAGTAATTCCGCAGGTATTAGCTAACAATTTCTTTATGAGCGTTCTATTTATAAATTTACTCACTTCAGATTTTAAAGTTTTATTGAATTATTTTTAAAAACGCATTGGAAGGAGCAGTTGTTTCTATAAAAGTATGTTCTTATAAAATCTCATTTCTATTGCTTACTAGAGTGAGAAGAATGATAATGCGTAAATATATTATCAATTACGGTGAAAAATTTTTGTTACAGAGACCGCAGCAGCATAAAATATGACGATGACATACGTAATACCTTAAACAAAATTTTATTTTTATAAAATCGTTTTATACGTATGCATACCACAAAATAATTACACTTACTGTATTAAAAGTTATATATGATAATACAACGATTTTACCCAGTCTCAATCCCGATGGTTTTTCACTTCTCATCATTATCATTATAAGAAGCTTTCTTGCTGCTATAGGCATACTATACCATTCAGAATTATATCTGCAAATTTTGCAAAAAATCTATTTAAAATTATATTATGTACTTATACTTCTGTTTAAAGTTTCATTACGTTATTATAGATTAATATGACTTTTTCAAATGTGTTACTTTTAATATTATACAAAACATACGCAGATTCAAACACTTTCTCGCTGGAATTTATGATTTTCTGACCCTGCCAGTTTACAAAAAATAAGGTAAATAAAACTGCATTTAGATAAGCAAAGAGTTTTACAAGACGATTAACTTCTTGCACATTTTTTATTACCTACACGATAACAAAATGTATAATTAATAAAATATAATAAATACATCAATTAATGTAATAAATACTGTCAGTGATAGTTAAATCAGTTAATTGTACTGTTTATTCATTCACGTAATTTGTATGTGTATGATAGGAACATATCCAAAAACTGTTGCAGTCTCAATAAAATGTTCGTTAGGTGTACCTGATACCCCAGAAAACTTATAATAAATACAGTCAATCCTGTCTGTATAGAGAGAGCTAAGCTATATGTCGACTCCACAATGGCAACAAATCTAGCATAATGTATAAAGATATTAATTACTATTATTATATTGTTACTATTACCTACACGCAATAAAAATAACGCTCTACACGTCTAAACATGTACTCACTGCATCGTTTCTGTGTGTCTGCGAATACTGTAGACAAGATTTGAGTAGCATTTATTCTTTGTCATCCTTAATTTGGAGACTAACGCACTTTCCAACCGAGATCTAAACTCAATATTATTACAAAATTTAAAGGAATAATTTTGGGAACAAGTTTTACAGCACACAACAATACAGGAACAAACTGTTCCTTTATTTGCATTGGATTCATCTTGATAAAAATCATGTATTTAAACAATGATGATTTACTAAACTTACCTCAAAGCTGCGAACAAACCGCAACTGTACTCGATCACTATTAGATACAGAACATCGAATACAGATAATAAGACTGTGTATATAAAGTCACATACACTACAATGTATGAAAATTGGAACGTAATACGTGTCTAGATCAATCATGTAATTAACGCGATAAGGTAATTCTGTTTGGGATTTCAGCTCTTTATTTGCTAACTCATTAGTCTTGTTGGATTCCACATAAGAAAGTTTTGTCAATAGTGGTGCAAATAAATAAAGGATGGTATGGCTTAGTAAAAAACCTAAATTGCAGGAAAATTTTCATAATTTATGTGTTACATTTTGATATAGTATTAAGCATCACAAGCTATTCCTTAAGCATTATAAATTTAATACTTTTATGCACAATTAAAAAAATTATATTTCGTAAAAATGTCATTTAATGCTATTTTTTTTAATGGCGATAAACTTTGTGCGACTTTAAAAAATTGGTCAAAATCAAACACCGATTTTTTATTATTATTTTTTTCCATTAGACCATACAAATTTTTTCTGAAATACTTTTCCCGGAAATATTCTTTTTTTAAAATAATCAATTACATTATTTAGAATAAAACATCCCGTAGATCATAAAATGTTTTTAAAGAGATATTGTAATATGACAAGTGTTTTCTAAATCATTTAGAAACTGAAATTTGTATATTTGAATATTTAACACTGCACTGCATTATATTGAGTTCGATTGTACTATTGCTAATATCAGTCACCCGTGTAAGCATAGCCTAACTTTTTCCCATATAGCGCATGCGAATTCTGTATCTTTTCTTCTTCGTCCGATTTCGGGGAAAGACAGTATTCGTGCATCTTTATTAGAAGCTTTTTGATCTGTGGCTCAAAAAAGATACCGATATAAGATATAATTTTACATAACTTTCTATATTTGCTATTACTTTTATTGTAAATTATTTATTTATTAGTATTTAACGATATACGTCGCGATGTCGTCTTTATTTACATACCTGTGGTAATGCATGTATTGTACAGAACGTTTTACTTATAATCACTACGGCAAAAAATAGTGACGGCACGGTATCAAGCAGTTCGAAGGGATCATGCCAAATTTCAATAACACCCAAAATCTGTAATTTCCATCATTTATAACATTGTGCACATATGCAACAAATAATTTTAATTGAAATGTCAGATCGGAAATAACATAATTAAAGTGTAAAGTGCATTTAAATTTTTATGCACATATAATTGTTTTAGAAAAGCTAAGTAAAGAAAGACATTTATTTTTCACTTTTTTGGAAGATAGAAAAATAATAAAAGCTATAATAGTAGACACTTGCAATACTGTCTTAAGACTACACATTAAGAATACACATTTATCTTATATACCTGAAATATAAGTCCAGATCCAAGTATAAGCATCATAGCGAAATATATCGCGTAACGCCTGTTTTGCGTATGAAAAGGCCATAGACCACTGATGCTTAGTAGTAGTCGAATGATGTTATAATGCGAATCCTGAAAGAACTGATCGATATCACCCATTCTGTCTCTTACTTCCTGCTGTTATTATTACAGAAGTGAAATTCTGTACCTATGTGATACCCCAACTTCTCTCTCTCAACAAAGAATACAATTCACATCAATTTTCTATTGACAATTCTGTTTAATGTTGGTAAATGTAAAATCAAAAGTATATGTCTGACACGTTTACCGCTAAATCGTCCGTTATAAAGTCGTGAAATTATCTTATGTAAATTGCACAATGATAGAGAAAGAGGATAGCCATACTGAAAATATTATCTTTGTAGATGCGATGCAGGTAAAAGGGGTATAAAAATTTTATTTCCAAGTAGAGTCGATAGAGACTGTTATATGTATAAAGATACAGTCGCTTCAAATTAAAATGTTATATTAAGAAATCATAGACTTGTGAAGCAGTTGCTTATCAAAAATCTATATTGTATACTTGCCATTTTTAAAAATTTTCTATATTTTTATTAAGAATATGGAGGAATCTTTCACAAAGAATAAAAAAATACAGATATTGATATGTTAGTATTTAATTGTGATTTTACGTAGTCAACGTATAAAATGAAGTGCTGTTCAACGTTGTTACGCTCTAGACTTGAATTCGAGCATAATTCATACAATTTTTCTCTATAATTATGTATTAAAAACTATATTATGTGTGTCAAGAATACAAATTTTGCATGTAGGAATTACTTTCTTTTTATATAAAATATTTAATATCGATTATCTTAAACTTATTGAGTTGCCGTAAAAAAATAATTTTTTTCACAAAAAATTAAGGGCGAAATCCATAGGTGTTGCTCAATAAAGCTTCGAGATGATTTTAAGCTAATGCTTGTCATAAATCAATGAGAGCCGTATTTGTATTTTAAGACATTGCTTGACACGGTCTCGAAATTAAGAACAGACTACGGATTCTTCAGGATGCATTTTACTCACCTGATGAGCAAATTTAGACAGATGTCTATCTATAATATCTATCTATAATATATTTTTTTCTTGAACCGGCGAATCAATCTATGCAAATTACATTATAATCCTCAACGTTAAGATAATTTCATCGAATGTCGTGTAGCCAAACATTTTCCGCTCTCTGTCTACTCGTGAATAATAATCTTGGTAGGCCATTCAGGATTAAATGGCGAATTTTTCAGTTGAGTACCATCACCCACTCGTAGAGAAACAGATTGATCCTTATTGTTCTAGGTATAAAGTTTATAATTTTATATCTTTAAAATCTAAATCAATTATATTGCCAATCGTTGCACAATCACGTCGGTTTGCTATAATCGATGTCGAAATTAAAAAGATCTCCAAGAGACCTTCTTCGAGATGATAATCTTGAAAATTTGAAATCGATGGTCGTTTATGTAACAACTCTACTGTGTTAAAAGATACATCTAAAAAGAAATGGAAAGTAATAAGGATAAATGATACATTTACCTTCATTAGTAAATCTAAGTTATTTGTGACAAAGAAATTATTTATATAAAAATCACTTTACTTAGGAACAGAAATATGAGGAACGTTGCAATAAGAGACATGGTAATATTTCTAAATGTTTTTATTAGACACAATGTTTCTTTTATATCTTCATATTAAAGAACTTTCGATATTTGTTCATCCTAATTTAAACAGAGCACTATTATAGAAAAATCTAAAAATTTAAATCAGTCATTTAGTTGTACTTTTCCTATATATTTGGCAGAGCTTAATAGGATTTTTGTAAATATCCGTAACTTTATTATCTTTAGGATAAAAAAATATAAATAAAAAATATTAATATTTATTGTCAGATCTTAATTTTATTATTTTACACTAAATTTTATTATCCTAATTTTATGGGTATATATCTTACATAATACGTATAATTATTCGTAAATATCTACGATTTTTTGTAAATTTTATAGCTAGTAAGAAACTGTCTGTAAAAATATTGTATAAAAATATAAGCACTTAAAAATTCTTACAAGTTTTACAAGAATATGTCACGAGCCTTACAATTCTAATTAGAATTTAGGCACTAATTGGCATATATTGTAATTCACTTCGAATCGTTATGTTAATTGACTGTGTTCCAATATACATTGCTAGTACTGAAACTCTATAATAGTTCACGTTATATATAGTATAGATTTTCAGTACTAACAGTGCATATATCAAAATACTGTAATAGCATATATCACAGAATCTCTTAAAGTCAAAGTAACTAAGCACAATATTGTAATATATCAACGGTTAAAGAATTGTAATACTAGGATATACAGGCTGTGTGTATATAGGGGAGACCAGGGCTAATAGACTAGATTTGTCAGTTTCAAATTTTTACAGACGAAATTAAGAGACTTACCGAAAAAATGAATTCTACACTAGTTACTACATACATTTGACTGCCTAATAATATTTTAATAATAAACTAATATGAAAAAAATGCATTTTTCTAATGCATTCCATCTGATTCAACTAATCTCGGGCTAATTCGACTAAAATTATTAAAATAAAGATTAATATACTTTAAGTTATATCTTTAGCTACATATACATATAACTTTTACAAAAATATATTTTAAACACAAACATTCGCTTTGCAGAGCAAAATGCTTCTTTTTGCAAAATTTGTACATTTCGTGCAAAAACACGTCGAATGAGACTAGTTTTCGAGATTGTACATTACAGGAACTAAACTTATAACATTTATCACTGAGAAAAATCTCTCTAAAGGAATAAAATGTTGAGTAAATACTATATAAGAGTCGTACAGTTCCATGCTGTGGTTAGTCTACTATCACCATCCATTCATTTTTTAAAAACATTAACAGTAACAAAAAAGTATGTTATAAAAATATGTATAAACAAAAAGAATATGTTGGACTTTATTAAGAACTACACTTCCTAAGATAAATTAATATTATTGAATTTGTACGACCCTTGCTAATATTATATAAATATATAGTTTATTCTATAGAATTTCTCGGATAAATACCTTAAACAACAGTAATGTAATTTATGATTTGTTCTTTTGAAGGTATATAATTACTTCGCCATATCTGTTACGATATCTGGATGTAACAATATTTAATCCTAATATAGCCGCTTCTTCACGTATAATTTCATATTCTTGTTTTGAAAAACCCTCTGGGAGATATTGTCTTACTGCATCACTGTTGATAAGTTTTTCACACAAATCATGGGCGGCTTTTCGAAATTCAGTAACTTTCATTTCTTCTTCATCCATGAATCTGAAGCAATTTTCCCGCAAGCGTATCTCTATTTTCAAATACTCACACCGTGTCACACGTGTCTAAAAAATAAAATAAAAGGGATGTATTATTACAACGAACTTATTTTGTAAAAAAATTTTCAACTTACTGTCTGAATTGCTTTTTTAATAGTATTATCGTGCGGTTCTAACGCCTGAGCTTTCAGGAACTTCTTCATTGCTTCATTATATTCTCCAAATTTCAACCAAGTTATTCCATACCTAGAATACAAGAAAAAAAATTGATTGTAATTCTGATTTAATATGTTTATACTTAAGCAGTTAAATCAGTGAAAAAAAAGTACATACTGATAATAGGTTTTAGCTGTTGGTTTTGTAACTTTTCTTAAAGCTAATAAAGCTTTGGTAGGCATATTTTCCATGTTATAACAAAGACCAATATTGGTGTAAGCTTGTGAGAGGAATTTATTTTTTACTTCTTGTTGTAAATTATCTTTTAACTTGACTGATTCCAAACAATCAATAATTTTTGTATATCTACAAAAAGATACATGTTTAAGAGATATACTGCATATTCATAAAAATTTCATAACATCAGTTACTTACTCTTGTATCGCCAGTTTGTAGTTAAATTTATTAAAATAGTCTTTAGCAATTATAAACTTATGTTTTGCAGGCTCTAACACATATTTAATGAATTTCTTCTCTTCGGTAAGATCTTGATTTGTCTGTGCACAGCCATCATCAATATAATCAACTAAAGTAACGACAAAGATCACTTCCTCATTAGGTGGAATACGTACTGAACAACTAACAACAGTCTTGTAAGCATAATCAGGATGTATCAAAAATATTGCTGTTTCATTCTTTTGCATAGAACGTATACCAATTTCTAAACCTGGTATAATACAACTCTTGCCTAAACGCAACGATATTGGTTTCCCAATACAGTGAGTAGAATCAAAAGGTTCATCTCTGCTTTCAGAAAATCCAACATAATGGATAATCGCTCGAGCATTGTGTGGTATAATTTTTCCAACACCTTTCTCTTGAATATACTTCATGACCTAATAACAATTTCATATTAAGCTTGTTAAAATAATATGATTTTATTTTAATAATAAATATTACAACTTTAAATACAAAGCGCCTTCCCGGTCCGAGTGTTAAGATGTTGAACTACTATCTAATATACATTCAATTAAATTGAATTAATATTTCAGAAATAAATTGAGAGCCGATGAAATTATCGGATTCACACAATCAATCTGAAACAAATAATCCCCC